GCACCCCGCGACCTCGCGGGCGCGCAATCGGCGACCTCCCATCTTCAAGAATGGTTTGGGCAGGGACGACCATCGCGATTGGATGATGTGGTGTACTGACTATGTGGAAGATGCGGTTCGGCGTGAGCGCGTTTCCTCGCGTTTTCCTGCCTGTCATGCCTCGCGATGCGAGACGCAGTGGATGGCGCCAGAATTGCGCCGCGCACTGCGACTGGACGCGAGACGCCCTGGCTGCACATCGCAGGGCCATGGAGGACAATGGCCGCGCGCGCGCGTCTATGCGCCATTCGGATGACAGTTGCGGAGCGCATCGAGCGGCGGACCTGGGCGCTAGACCATTTGCCAATGTCCGAGGACCAACGGGATTGACGCGGCTGGGATTGCTCCCTTAGCGCATGAGGTGACCTGTTCTTGTGCATCCTGTCATATGTGGTCACTTGCCGCTGGCGGCTCATCCCGCGCCCGCGAATAAGTGCGCGGGCCGCGAGGTGACGGGCATGCGACGTTGCCCGCCGGACGAACAACCCGCACCTCGACGCGATGAGAATGGTCGCTCATTTCCTCCCGACATTCAGTGGAGACATACTTTCGCCGACGGGCGCCATCTCGAGGCCGCGGGGGGGGGGGGGGCGGCCCCTGCGGCGAAACTTTCTGAACGAGAAATTGTGGGCGAGAACGAAGCAACGACGGCGGGGGCTAATTCTGCGGACCGCGCCGCATACTCGGCGCACCCCTGAGTCTCGCTCGAAGTGATTGCTGACCCGCTTCCACCTGTCACCCCATCCCCGTGATACCTGCGACGCAGCGACGCGAATGACTGAGGCAGTGAGGTGCTGCAGACCATCGACGACCTGCCTAGCGGACAAGCGCGGGGCCCCGATAATACCAGTAACGATTCTAGCGGCAGCGAGGACGTTGATGAGCTGCTGGCTGCACGTGGGTTCTCAGACGTTACCCCGATGGGTCAGTCGGCTTGAAGTCGCCCCCGCCCCTCCCAGGTTTTGCGAGGCGGCGCGAGACGTCGATGGCCGCGGCGACCGACCCTTCACGCGGCGGAGAGTAAGACCCACGTTCGAGGCCCGACGCATCTCTGAAACAGAATGATGAGACGAAAGGGAATGGGCGCGAACGCGCCCCCGGCCATCGTGACCTTCTGGAGGCCCCTGAAGCGCGGTGTGCGATGACGCCGGGCCACAGATCGGTGGCTCTGATGCAGTTGCGTCTAGATACCTGTTGGAGATGTCACTGCGCTGGCGCGGCGGCGATGGACAAACCATTAGGGCATGGCAATGGTGGAGTCAGCGCCAACTCGCGAGGAGCTGCGCTACGAGACCAATCGGGACGCGCTGGCCAGCGCGATGCCGGATGATGACATGCCCCGTCTCTGCGGCGCTGCCTCTGGTGGATTCTTCCACGCCGACGACCTGCGCGGCGCCCTTGGCGGCTGCAGCTTCGGCGGGGCCACTTCCGGGAGGCGCCCGCGATGGGCGCGTTTGCATTGGAGGTCCTGTTGCGGGGGCCCCAGAGATTCAGACGCCGCCCCCCGCCCGCCGCATGGATCTGGCGTCTTCATCTGCGCCTGTTCCACGGGCTGCCTGCCGTGGGCCGGAGGGGCGTGGGCGCGCTGCTGGCGCCATGCAGGTTCTTCTGCGCGCGCGTGCGCGCGCTCGTGGCTGGGCCCCCGCGGCCTACTTCGCGGGCGGCCCTTGGAGTGACGTCTAGGTCCGGCTGGACCGGTGCGCGCAGTGCCTCGCGGGTGGTCTCCGCGACGAAGTGTTCGAAGGATTGTTCAGCGGTGGCCGTCGTGATCGAGACAGCGCGAGGCGCGACGTGGCACGGGATGTGGCGAAGAATCACGACAGCACCTCACTCTCACGTTGCCTGCTCGGGGGGGGCCAGCGGCGTTCGTTCGCGACGTCGTGGGCTCGCGGGGGCGCGCGGGCCCGCAGCTGTCGCGTCGACCCCAGCAGGTTGAGTTTCAATGAACGGGGCGCTTCCCTGGAAGTCGTGGCTGGTCGCCCCCCCCCTCTGCTGCGGTCGCCCGGCGCGGCGTCGAGGTGGCGCTCTGCCGGCGCTTCGCGATGGCGACGATGGAGGATCCGAAATTTCTAGCCACCACGCGAGGGGGGCCAGCTGGCGACCCCGTCTTCCCATCGCCAACTGACGTCGATATCGACGGCGTGGAAGAGGCGGCGGACGATGGACCGCGCTGATGCGGGGACCTCGTCGAGCGGCGCTTCATTCCCCCACCCTCCCCACCCTCTCCTGAGCGAGGAGCTACGGCGGCCCGGTGAATATTAAGGACATCGGTGGACACGATTGATGGAACGGAACTGTATAAGCACATCATTGTGCGGAGGATGGCTACGCTCCCCCGTTTCTTGATCGTGGTGGGGTGGGCGAACGACTGGGCCTGGTGACCATGGTGGTGTAATAGGCGGCGGTGTAGTTCGCAACCAATAGGCCCCTCTTGCTGAATATTTGCTTTGCGAGGAGAAACTCCCTCCGTCCTGACCCGCCCTCGGTTGGAAATGTGTCAGAGGATGGCGACAAACCTGGCCGTGAAGGTGCAGCCCAGCCTCTGACAGAGGCGGAGGGCAGAGGGCTTGCCGATGGTGCGTTCAGGGTGCTGGCGGCAGGCGTCCAGTAGAGTGCAGCTGACGGGGAGGAACAAGTGCGTGGTGGAGTTGGCCCTAGCGACGGCACCAGGGAGAACGGCAATGGCAATGGAGGGCACGCGGCGGCAGGTGACGAGATCGACTTCAAGTACGACCAGACGAACATCGTCGACGCTGGGGGCGACGACGACTGCGTGGCCGCCGACGGCGACGCCCACATCACCGCGTTCGAAAATCCATCCGTCGGGAACTTGAGGACTGGCCCCGCGTCAGCCGTGGGCTGCGCACGCGGCGCAGCCTAAACGGAAGACGTGCGCCCCCCCCCCCCCCCCACACCCCCCCCCACCCCACCCCCCCCCCCCCCCCCCCCCCCCCCCCCCCCCCCCACACACACACACACACACACACACACACACACACACACACACACACACACACACACACACACACACACACACACACACACACACACACACACACACACACACACACACACACACACACACACACACACACACACGCACACGCACACACACACACACAAACACACACACACACAACCCTCTATGGCGCGGGATCCTCCTCCTTCCGTTCTCCTCCCATGTCCTCGCTGCTTTTCCGTCGCGCCCCCCCCCCCTTTTCCATGCCTTGTACGTAATCATAAACCCTTTTCTTCCTCCTGCCGACCTCCCATCTCCTCCCTGCTCCTCCTGGCCCCTCTTCTTCTCCACTCATCACCACCCCTCCCTCCTCCTCCTCTCTCCTCCTCCTCCTCCTCCTTCCGTCCTCCTCCCCCTCCTCCTTCCGTCCGCCTCCCCCCCCCTCCTCCCTCCTCCCCTCCCCTCCCCTCCTCCTCGTCCTCCCCTTCCTCTTCCTCCTCCTCCTCCTCCCTCCTCCTCCTCCTCTTCTCCTCTTCCTCCTCCTCCTCCTCCTCCTCCTCCTCCTCCTCCTCCTCCTCCTCCTCCTCCTCCTCCTCCTCCTCCTCCCCTTCTTCCCCAATTCTTCCTTTTCCCTCCTCAGTATGTCTCCTTTTCGGTGTCATGTCGGAGAGGGAGAGAGGCACCCTGCCTATATTAGGGTCAAGTCACTTCCCCCTTTCTCCGCCCCACGGCTCCCATCTCGCCGTTGATCCGTGGTGGCCCCAGGGTTGTCGCGAGGTCCCTTCGAAATTGTCCAACGGATGTTCCGTGCAGCTGTCCTGTGCGATTGCTTCGTGGTTTCCCCGTGCCGTTGCCCCGCACGTGTCCAAGCCTCGTTCTGCGGCTAACATTTGGTAAGTTTGTTTTCCGTTGATTGGTATCTGTTGTCCCGTAGCTGGATAGTGGAACAGATCAACATGGCGTTGCGAGGCGACTGTTATTCAAGAGGCTTCCACCATTGCGCCGAGACCCAGGGTAGGGGAGTCCACTGTGTAGGCGTCGTGGGTTTTTTGGATACTATTTTGGGATTCCCGTGGGCGTCTTGGGAGCTGTTTGGAGGCCTGGTGGGGCCTCTTGAAACGTCTTGGTGGCAGTTTGAGGGCTTTTTTTGAGCCTCTTGGGGGCTTGTTGGGGCTTATTGGGGGCCTCTGTTGGGCCGCCTGGGCTGGCGTCTTGGGGCGGACAGATCGGATTTTCGCTTCGTGGTCTCCCTCTTGGCCTCTCGTGGGGCCTTCTTCGGGCGACCTTTGGCCGTCTTGGACCTGTTGTTGGGCCGTCTTGGAACCCTCTTGGACCGTCCTCGGGCCATCGAAAGGGACCTCTTATGCAGTTTTGGGGCGGGCTCTTGGGCCGTCATGGAGCGCCGGAAGTTCGAGAAGGCAATAACCTAAGAGACCTCGAACAACCCAAGGAAAACCATGGATGTTGTGCCCCTGGGGGCCCTCTTGGTAAGGCTTCTGGGATTCTCTTGGGGCGTCTAGGGGCGTCTCGGAGCCATCGTAGGCGTCTCGGGCCAATCTTCTGGCGATTCGGCGATTCGGGACCATCTTGGCACGTCTGTGAGGCCATGGAAGGCAGATTCGGAAGCTTCAGAGCCTCCAGGGGTGCGCCGGGGCGCCCAGGCACCCACCCGAGGGGCCCCGATCCCCCCCCCCTAATTAACGAGTTAAGCGAGATATTGGGCCTTGGGCACCGGGGGAGGGGGAAGGCGGGACGGCATCTCACCAGCCTTCTCACCCCTGGCAAGTGGAGGTCGGCGGATGTGTGGACTTAGGAGTCTGATGGGGTTCGAGGAGTCTTCCGAAGTCTTGACGCTTCGCGTATCCAGGCCGGTCCGTAGCCCTTGGCTCAAGAGGGCCCCGCCCCCGCGGCGCCGCCCCCCGGCGCCCCGTCGCGGCCCCGCGCCGAGCGCTAAGAAGAGGCGGGCGCATGGCTGGCGGCGGGGGCCGCCGCCTAGGTGGTGATGCCCTACGGCAAGGGGGCCGCTGAGGACTGGCGCAGGAGGTCGCAGAGGGCGTCCGTGTGCCAGACGGACTCATTGACCGCCGGGGAGGCTGCATCGGCACCACTGCTGAGGCAGCTGACCAACGTGCAGAGGCTGAAACTTGCAGGGGGTGGCGATCTGGCAGCAGAGTCGGGCAGGCGCCTGGACGGCGTGCGGACTGCGAGCGGTACTCTGGACAAGGACTCGGGACCTTCGGCCGCCTCCGAGGCCGAGTCACGCGCTCAGCGCTCGTTGGAGACAGCCAAGACTTGGAGCAGGTTTGGTGGCACCAGCACTTCCAATGGCAAGCTACTCTACTCGGTGGCATCGCTGGACAGCGTCAGCACCATTGCAGGCACTGCCCTCCTCGGCGGCTCGAGCACTGGCAGCCTTTTCACGGCGCTGGCTGAGGGGGACGAGGAGTCGACCGCGTCCGCGAGCGAAGACCTGGGCGAGCTGCCAGAGGGCATGCCGCAGCACAAGGTGGTGAGCATGATCTTGAACAACAACCTCACACATCAGGCGGCCATCGACATCCTTGAGAAGATCAAGGATCCCATGGCCGGGAACCAGCTCACAGACAGTTACTTCGAGAGCGCCAACATGTACGGAGAGATCGGGGACGGGCTCCTGGGCATCAGGAGCCGCCTGAAGCGCATCGAGGCCAGCTTGGAGATCGACAGCCTAGACCTCGACGCGGAGCGGGCCCAGGAGGCCAGGCGGCAGCAGGAGGAGGAGCGGCGGCAGGAGCTCGAGCAGCAGATCTTCGCCCTGGAGATGAGGGTAGAGGCGGACATGGAGATGCTCGACAGGCTCGATTACAGCGGTCAGGCGTGGGGGCGGCAGAAGCTCGGCCGCACCCTCGGCGGCATCGTGTTCCAGCTGGACAGGTACAACTGGAGCCAGCTGTGCCGGCTCCTCAAGCGCTGGGTCCAGTGCGACACGGCGAACCATCACTTGGTGAAGGACCTGCTCCAGGAGATTGCCGAGCAGGAGAGCGAAGCGCTCCACCTGATGTCCATGTCGCGCCTCAAGGTGACCGAGGCCCTCAGCGGGCGGGTAGTGAGCGCGACGCGGCTGCTGATGGGCTTCCACGACAGGATCTTGGAGGAGATGCGCAGCGTGTCCGCCAAGAGGAAGGAGCTCCGGGAGGACCAGGACTCCACTGCCTCGCGCCGGCCATCCTCCGCCTCGTCGGGAGGTCTGTCCAGCGTGAGGATCTTCCGGGAGCAGATGGCGGACACCTCAGAGCGGCACATGAAACACATGGAGATGAACCGAGCCATGCAAGACTTCATGGCGAACCGGGCCTCCATATTTGCGGCTCCGCCGCAGCTTGCAGGCGGCGAGGGGCACCCTGCGACGAGCAGGAACAGGTTGTCCACGAGGCCGAGTGTATTGGCAGGTCTGCGCCAAAGTGTGCGCAGAAGTACGGCGTTCAAGAGGAACAGCTCATGCCGTACTGTGGTCGAGGAGCCGCCAAGCCGCAGCTCCATGGTCATGCAGAACCGCTTCGCTGTCATGTGCAGCTCCTCGGTGTCCGCCGGAGAGACCAAAGCCCACTTCATCGAGACGGCGGCGAAGGCCGCAGAGACGATGCAGGAGCAGCTGATCGACCTGGTGACCCGCAGGGCCGCAGAGGTGGCCCGTGTGAAAGACCTCAGGCAGCGTCGCCAGCATTTGTGGAACAGGCTCAACAGTGTCACGATTCGCCACGAGATTGTGCCGCAGGCAGCATCCATGGCACCAGTGCAGCCGAAGAACCCGTGGCAACAGCGTCTGCGCCAGGTGGGGCTGCTGGGCACGGCCTTCCTTGACCGCAAAGAAGACAGAAGCGCGTCCCCATCACCGTCATTGCGCAGGAACGAGATGGGCGCTGCGCAGATGCAGGATGCCAGGGAGCTGCAACGGCGCCTGAAGATAATCCAGAACATGTTGTCGAGATTTGACGCTGAGAAAGACTCTATCGAGGCAGAGGTCTCTTCCTTTTATGGAGAAGGTGCGTGGGTGACCTCCAGAGACGGCGTCGACTTCAAGTTGAATCCGCGCGAGGCTATCCTTCACAAGGTGGAGCAGAGCCTGGACTTTCGCATGGAGCGGAACTGTGGAGATGAGGAGAAGAGCCACCTGGCAGACCTGTATCAGGTCGCGGGCGTGCTTGTCATGAAGATCCGCAATACCCCAGACAAGGAGAGGGCGGCTCTGGACACGAGGATCGACCAGCTGGTGTGGCGCCTGCAAGCTTGGCACCGTGGTGCCGAGGACGGGGACGGGCAGTCGCCCAAAGTTGGGGCAACGGCGTCGGACTCCGCCTCGCCGATCCAGCACGCACGCTCGGGAGTACACGATCTCAGCCCACGCTCGGGAGGGACGGCACCGGACTCCAGCGAGCGCTCCACCGCGTCCCTGGCGCAGCATTCCTCGGAGGCAGGCCGGAGCCCGCCCGTGGCGGCCCGGGCCTTCTGCCCCAGAGGTGCCGACGAGGTCGACCCCCTCACGGCGGAGCTGGCAGAGCAGGAGGCGTTCCTCGAGCGGTACCAGGAGCTGCACGCCCGAAATGGGTACTGAAAGAATGGGTACGATGCCCAACAGCAGCTCTTGTTCATTCTGAACAGGACTCGCTGTCCACGCCGCCGCGGCCTGTGTCCATTCGAGACAGGAGGTCGCCCGCCCAACAGCGGCCGCTGTTGGTTTGGGACAACAGCTGTTGTTGGGCATTGTACCCATTCTTTCCGTACCCATTTCGGGCGTCCAGACAGGAGCTCCAGAAATGGAGGGAGAAGGTCGCGAGGCTGAAGGGAGAGTGCGACGGGCTCGCGCGCCAGGTCCTGAACGGGCGAGCTATGCGGAGCGGAAGCCCGAAGAGGCCAGCCTGGCGGCCGGGTGTGCCGCTGGAGCTCGTGGGTTCACCGAGGTCGCCAACGAAGGGCTTTCCGCCGATGCTACGGACAACATCGAAGAGATCGCGCACGAAAGGCTCCGAGGCCAGCAGCAGAAAGCTGGGCGGCGAGGTGCGCGAGCCCGCTGAGGCCGAGGAAGCGAGCGTTCAGCTCGAGCTCGCCCAGGCAGAGGAGGAGAATCGCTGGTTGCACGGCGAGCGCGACAGGATGAGGCGAGAGAGCAACTTGCTGGAGGTAAGCATTGGCGCGAACATGGAGGCGGAGGAGTTGGACTTCTCATTCTTCAGGAATGGCATGCCAGCCAGCGTCAAGGCTGGCAGTGTGCGCGGCCGGATGAGAAGTACCAGAAGACTGGCGATCGTGGTGGACGTGTGGGACAAGAAGATGCAGGAGCTGCGCACGGTGTACGAGACGCAGGTAAAACTCGCCGAGAACTGGGGGACGCGCCTCGCACGCCGGAAGTCCGCGAGGCCATCGTCCGACCCCATTGCCCTCATGACCACGGCGGAGATGGTGCAGGAGGAAGCCGACGTGAGCTCGCGGATTGTGCGGCTCAGCACGATCAACGCTGGGCCAAAGGATCTGTCCACATTGGTGGTGTATGGCCAGCAAGGCGAAGGAGCGGGACACGACCAGTCCAGCGCCCAGAGGCCGGCGCGGCCTTTTAGGAGGGTGAATTTCGGCGACGAGGATCGGGACGACCGAAATGGGTACAGAAAGAATGGGTACAATGCCCAACAACAGTTCCTGTTCATTTTGAACAAGACTCACTGTCGGTGTCGCCGCGGCCTGTGTACATTTGAGACAGAAGGCCGCCTGTCCAACAGCGGCCGCTGTTGGTTTGGGACAACATTTGTTGTTGGGCATCGTACCCATTTCTTCGGTACCCATGTCGGGCGTCCAAAGAGGACGCCGAAGGAACGGCTACGCTGCCGATGCGGGCGCACGCAGGGCTCGACTCCCGCCCAGCGGAGACGGAGAAGCGCGTCACGCTGCGGCAGCGGGCGCGTGACAGCCTGGCGCGGAAGGCCGCAAAGGTGCAGGCGCTCCAGGCGCTGCTGGGCGCCCGCCGCCGCGAGAAGCTGATGAAGGTGCCCGGCGACGGCGGCTGGCGCCAGGACGATGCGCCCGTCCACCTGCCGAGGCCATCCACCATCGCCGGCCTCCTCACGGCCAGCTCTCGCCAGCATGGAGAGGCCTCTTCCGTCCAGCGGGTGCTGCCCAGCAGGGACGAAGCCGAGAGCAGCTACGTCCCGACGGACCAGGCCGCGCGGGCCGCGCTGCTCAGGAGATCTTCCCGGCACGTGCACAGGAGCGCGGGCTCCACCCACGCGGAGCTCCTGAAGCGGAGGCAGACGGGGTCGAAGGCCGATGAGGAGGAGGAGGTCGTTGGCGCCATCGCCGGGCGGCTCCGGCGGCTCGAGGCGCAGCGCCAGCGCAGGCAGCTGCAGGAGCAGTACGTGCGCATCCTGGCGCACCGCCGCGGCTACAACCTCCACATGCTGCGCGACTTCTGCGAGGTGATGGAGAGCCGCGAGGAGGATGGCGACATTGGAGACGACCCAGTTGCCCGCGGCGGCAGAGTCGCCGTGGAGGACCTCTGGGCGCAGAGGCAGAAGGCGCTGCAGCTCCTGAGGATCTGCCACTCGCGCATCCGCGACCATTACTTTGGCCTCGAGGGAGCTTGCCAGAGGTTCTGCTCGCACTCGGCTGGCATGGAGCAGGAGGATTTCCTGGAGATGGTGCTGCAGCTAGACTTCACACGTGGACAGTACCATGTAATGTGGGAGATGCTGATGCACTTAACGCGTCAGGACGGGCGCAAGATCTCGTTGTTTCGGAAGCCGCTGAAGTGCACTGGCGCCGCCCTATCCTCCGAGACGTTTGTTCACGTAATGAAGTTGATGAGGCCTGTCGGATCGCTGCAGCACCTGCGCGCGCGGCTCCGGAGGCGCCACAGGGGCGTGGACCTGGGCGCGCTCTTCGACGCCTGGGCTGGACAGCCTGGGCGCATGCACCTGGAGGAGTTCTCCCACCTCGTCGCCGGCGTGGGCGTTCAGGCGAACGAGGCCCGCTCCCTCTTCGAGGAGATGGCCGTGCACAGCGAAGAGGCGCCAGCCGTGTATTCCAGCAAGTGCGAGCCTGAAACGAGTGTCACAAGGACGACGTTCATTAAGGTCCTGGCGCTCGCGGAGGCGCTCGCCGCGGCTGGCCGCCTGCAGACGGCGCTGCTTAGGTCAGCAGCACGGCCGCGCGAGAGCCAGAGGCTGACGGTGCTGGGGAGCCGCGGCCACCACCTCGAGCGGGCCAGGGCCATGTTCTACACGTTCTTCCAGATGACCACTCCGGGGATCCACGCGTCTTCGCTCGTGGATTCGGCAGAGTTTCAGGCAGCGGTGCAGAAGTTCGTGGCCGAGGAGCAGGACGCGCGGGCGATCTTCACCCTGGCGCCTGCGCATGGCGATGCCGAAGGGCGAGTCCGCATGGCCGACGTCGTGGCGGTCGCCGTCGCCGGCCTGGGCTACGTAGGCGAGCGGCTGCTTCTCGAGATCGGCCTCGGCTCCAGCAATGGTCCCGCGGCACCAGGGAGGAGGCGAAGCGGCGGGAACACGGCAGACCCCCGCGCGTTGGCGGGAACGCCGCAGGCCTTGGACTTCGCAGTGCCCCTGCCGCGCTTCCCCGCCCCGGGCAGGCGCAGTCCGCGCTTCCCCGCCCTGGGCAGGCGCAGTCTGGGGCTCGGCCGGTGCTTCCACGTGATGCGGTACCGAAGCAAGGCGACAGACCTGTCGCCAGAAGAGCTCCTCTTGCCTCTCAGCGGCGCGGAGGGCGGCGAGGAGGACAACGTCTCGGACACCAATTCGGACGGGTCGGTGTCCATCCTGCGAGGGAAACCTCCTATCACCGACGCGCAGATGAATGCTGCCAAGAAGGCGTCTGGCAGGTTTCTGCTGCGGCCGTTGCCGAAGGGCTCTGGCCTGGTGAACGAGGCCGTCAGGCGGCGCTTGCCGCGTGGCCTGCGGAGCGGGCGGCACTCCCCCAGGGAGGGCGCCGCGGCGGAGGCCAGGCGGCTTTCGAGAGGCACCCTGGAGGACGAGCGCCAGCACGTCCTGGCCGAGCTGCTCTGCGCGGGCGGCGCGGAGGCGGCGGGCCTGAGCGGCGCCCGCTGGCGGCGGCGGCGGCGCCGCCGCTGCGCGCGAGATCGCGCGCCGAGTGCTGAGTCGCAGGGTGGCGAAGTCTGGGAGACGAGGGGCACGCTGAGCGGCGACGGCGCGGACGTGCTGGCCCCCATCGAGTCGGTGCCAGGACGCGCAGCTCGGCACATCGCCGCCTCCATCCCCGAGGAGCCGCGGGCGCACGGCCCGCCGTCGAGGCCGCCGGGCTCGAGCAAGGCGTCGTCGAGCGGCGCACCTAGCCCGCAGTCCGCCAGGCCAGGGCAGGTCAAGCCCCACGAGAGCTTGTGGGAACTTCTCGATAGCGGCATTGACGTTGACCACGTGCTGATTCTCCTTCAGGACTGGCGCCGCCAGCTGTTCCACCGCTTCGGGGGCTCCGCTGGCGCGGCCTTCGACGCGATGGCTGGCTCACGCAGCGCGGCGCTTGGGCTGGCAGAGCTGTACACGGCTCTTGTGGAGGTTCTCGACGTACAGCGTGAAGATGCCGGACCGCTCGTCATGTTAATGTCGATAGTTGAGGAGCTCTCGCCGATGCGGTATGGAGAGTTTCGCGCAGTGCTTGCATTCGCGCGCCCGACGGGCTCCCTGCTCGAGCTGAGAGCGCGGCTGGTTCGCAGGTTCGGCTCCCTCGAGTCTGGCCTCGAGGTTTTCAGAGCCCCGGACGGCAGCATGACTGAGCTGTCAGACGCGGAGTTCGAGAGGGCTTTGCTGGGTGTTGGCATTACGTCGGCAGACTCATACAGGCTGTTCCGCACCATCAATGCCACGCAGAGCGAGCCGCAGCGTGGACGGTTGTCGGGCTGGACGAAAGGGGGGAAAGGTGGGGTTACGAAATTTGCTACATGCAGCTGGTTTCGGCCTTACCGAGGGGCCCATTCCTCGATACATAGCCGCCTCGGGCGCTGGGAGGCGCCGGGAAAATCAGCTACGTGAGCTGATTCTCACCCCCCCCCTTTGCTATCCCCCCCTTTCGCCCGACCCGAGGTTGGACCTTCGAGCTATCCGTCGCGCTCTGGACCAGTCCCACGCGATCCGGTGGCTCGAGCTCTTCTGCCACCAGATCGGAGGGAGCAGCGCTACGGGCATTGTCTTCAGCGCGCACCCCGCCCTTGCAGCAGCAGGTCTTGGTGATGGAGCCGTGGTGGGCGCAGAGCTGCAGTCGGCGACGGACCTTGCCGGCTGCCTCGCACCGTTCGGCCTCCCGCCGCACCTGGCCAAGCCCGTGCACCAGCTAATCTGCCAGCGGGCGCGGGACGAGGCGAACCTCGGGTCCTTGGCTGAGATGCTCTCCGACGCCTTCGGCAGCGACGAGCCCAGAGAGGCGACCATCGAGGGTTTTGCGCCAGAGGCCGAGGCGCTCCTGCTGGAGCACGCCAGCAGGTCCGAGTGCCCCTTGTCGCAGGCGTTCGAGGGCGTTGACTTTTGCGCGCTTCTTGCCGCGCATCGCGAGTGGGAGCTGGAGGACAAGCTGGCCATGATCCTCCAGTGCAGCCCGCAGGAGACCCACGCCCTGCTCGAGCACCTGACCGAGCTCACGGACAGCGGCACCACACTGGGCGACGCCCTGGACGTGCTAACCAGCGCGCAGGCGAGTCGCCCTGCCGCTCCAGGCCGCCTGCCGCAGCGGCGCTTGGCGTGCGCCTCGGCGCTCGGGGTGCCCGAGGACCTGGCCTCCGGAAGCATGCGGCCCGCCTCGAGCTCGCAGGGTGTGCATTCGCTTGGCCAGTCGAACAAGGGACGGACGAGCGTCGGCTCGCGCGCTGGCACGAGGTCCGCCAATCAGACCGGGTCCACCACCCTCCCGGGCTCCGGCTGGAGCGACGCCAGTTACTCGCCGCCTGGCACCGCGCGGCCGACGACGTCCCCACAAGCGCCCGGAGGCGCCGGCAGGGCTCGCCCCAGGGCGCCGGCTGCGCCGCATCAGCCAGCGCGCCAGCAGAGGGTGCTGCCAGGTCTCTCGGGCTGGCGCTCAGTCAACACGCGGCCGAAGACCTCGCCGATCCTCGACAGGTCAGCTAAACTTCAGCCTGGGCCAGTGGCGCGTTTTTCACAGCAGCCCGCGCTGCACCACGACACACTGCCTGGGCAGCAGGCTGGCCCGCTCTTCGACGAGGGCGCGGACCTCGGCGCCTTCGGCCAGCCCGCGGGCTTCATGACGACCACGGGGAAGCGGGCACAACAGGCGCCCGCCCTGGCCAGCAAACTCCCAACCTTGGCCGCCGCGCCGCCGCCGGAGCTGGGCGCGCGGAGCGCGCGGGCGGCGATCGCGGCGGCCCCCGCTTGGCGAGTCGTGCAGCCGGCCCCTGCAGGACGAGGCGCCGCCTGGCCCACGGCCCGCGGCGCGCACCCTGGGCTGCCGTCCAGGGGGGCGGCTACGGCGCGCACGGCAGCTCTGCCTGCCGCCGCCGGCGCCTCTCGCGGAGCGCGGCCCCCTGGGAGGCTGCCGCCCGCCGTGCGGGCGGCCCTGTGAGCCGCCATTGGCGAGCCGTGCACGCCGTATGGCGGCAGCGGCCGATGGCACCTTCGTTCGGCCACCAGTCGCTGAAGTGTGGCCGCCCCGAGACCTTCCCTGGGCGTTTCAGTCGCCTGGGCTCGTCCCCCGGGCCCTGGGCTTTGTCGGCGCCCCCTCCTCCTCCTCTTCCTCCTTCTCCTCCTCCGCCTCCTCCTTCATTCACAATGACTCTGCGGCTTTAGGCTGCGCCCCCCCCCGTGCGAAGATTGCTGCGGCCGCTGAGGTGCGCTCGCCCTGTGACCAGCCCAGGGTGCTTCGGTCCCCCGCGGCTGATTCAGCCCTTGTCCTGATACATGGTCGCCATGGCGCGCCAGCGCGCCCGTGGCGCGCCAGCGCGCCCGTGGTCAAGACGATCCGTGCATGGGTACCCAGGGATCATCATCTGTGTCCAGCGGCATTTGGCTGCACCCCCCTCCTCTCATTCACGAGTCTCTGCGGTTCTTGGCTGCGCCCCCCCGATCAACGGCATAGATTGCATCGTCCGTTGAAGTTGAGACCCGCCCAGGGAGCAGCAGTGCCGACCCAGCCCGGCAAGTCAGCACGCCGCCAGCGAATGGTATAGCCCTGAGGCCAGGCAGCTGCCGGCGGTCCGCTTGCCCCGGCTCCGGACGCATCCGTCCTCCGCAGGGGCAGCGTGGCATGTGGTGACTGGGGGTTACAGTAAATGGTGACTGGGGTTTACAGTAAATATGCTCCTCTCCGCCTCATCTTACACTTGCCTCTTTCGCTGCCTGCCTTGCCACACCTTGACTCTGCGGCACTGTTCCGCAGCTGTGTTTGCTCTCAGGATAGTAAAGGAGCGCGCTGGCTCGCACGCGCGCGCCGAGGGGTCGTTCCCTCGTCGTCGTCGTGTCGTCGGCCGGCCTCCTCCCTTCCCATTCTTGAGTGCAGTTGCTTAACGGTTACTTGTAGTTTCATCGATGTCTCATCCCGTATCCTCTAATAATGGCGGAGTCAACACGAGACCTTAATGCCTTTGTCATCTTGCCCCGATTCTCAGAGGAAAGACGGGTTATCAGCCGAAACCCGCGACCAAACCGCAACAGGGATGAGCTATGATGAGACAGCCGAATTGCCCGTCGGATCGCAAGTTGTACAACATGACGGGCAAGAACCACAGGACGGCGGCCCGGGGAGGGGCCGCCTTCCCTCTTCTTCTATCGCCACTCGGGTCTCTCGTGGAAGGAGCGGGGGAGAAGTTATAGATTTGTCAAGAGATGATTCCCCCTCTCGAATCCCGATCGGTGATCGTGAACAGACCCCAAACTCGACGAGGCGGGACAGCACAACAGCAAAGATAAGACGAGGAACATTCTCATCATTGATTGCCGAATCTTCGGATACAATAAACTCCAGCCCGATTGCTATGCGGACTATTGTGCCGGCCGCCGGCCAAGCCAGTGGGTCGGGAGAAGCTGAGGGGTCCAGAGGCGTGTACCCCACCGTCCCAGACGGATGGGGAAACGCTCAAGGAACTTATCCCATCCTGATAGCCTTGAACGGACAGACCGGCCAAGATAGTGATGAACAGCTGGATGATGGAGACGACATAAACTCCATGGAGGAAGACATTGGGTACGCCAACTATCAAGTGTCACTCGGCCGAGATTTGTCCTCGATAATTGACGCAGACCACCCCGTCCAAGACGAGAGGTGGTCCCCTGGGCAGGATACAGTTGACTACGATCACGTGGAAGCCCTTGGGAAAGCGTTTGCAATGCCAGATTCGGACACCGAGATAAGTGACCTGCCGCCCCAGGCGGTCGATGTGGAAACGGAGTATCAGACTCAAGCGAAGCATGACCAGGAGATCACAGGACGAATTCCCGCTCCTCAACTCAAGAAGCAAAGGAAGGAGGATTACGACTTGAATGATTCCCCGCTTCAGCAAGGGTTTCATCGAACTGCCGTCGCCCCAGGCGGTTGGCAACCATCGATGCCCATTGTAGCTGAGGGCGATGAAATGATCACCCCCCCGGCTTCGCTGAATGAGTTGATTAGACAAGACGAAAGGGGTGAGGAGCTTCGAGAGGCGGCTAGACCGCCAGAGAGTACGCACACACGTCCCAGATCGAACGCTTCGAGCACGGGAAGGCCCAAGATGCCAAGATCTGGAGCCCGATCCACTTCGAGGAGCAACAGTGCAATATCCATGCTCGAGACATGCTGGAAATGGGGCCCCAACTGCCCGCCCCAGGCGGGGAGCATATGCCCGGGGAAAGCCCACGGGCCGAATGGAGCCTGCAGGCGCCCAGTATGTAGGAATTGCTCATACGTGTGTCCTAATTGTAGCAGTCAGTGTTTGTGTGAAGATTGCATTCCGATGGAAGAGCACATTTGCTCATACCTTCTCACCCAGGCTGTGCAGGATCAGGCTAGATTTGTTGAGGCCAAAACTCAGCAAGAATTCGTGGCCCGCGGAGCCCAGAGGGCCGAATAAGCCCGACTAGACCGAGAGGGGATGAATGCAGTCATTGAGGACGTTCGGAAGGCGTTCGAGGCTGAAAGACTCGCTATGGCCCAGGCGGCCAGAGAGCGGGAACAATAACTTGTGGAACAGATGCCCCATCAAACCGCGGCTGCCAAGCAGCGCGCGGAAGAAGAAGCCGAGAACAGATATGTTGAGATGATTGCCTCCGAACGACAGGCCGTTGTGGCGGCGACCAATCAGTCTGTTGATGCCAAGACCGCATCCGCCGCTGTTGCGGCGGCGAGAATAGAAGGAGAGAGGGTCGCTACAGCCGGGGCAGAACAAGAAAGACAGGAGCTCCGAGAACAACTTCAAACTGCCAGGCTGGAAGTGGCCAATGCCCAGATTGTAGCTGCGACGATACTTGATCAGAATAATCAATATCGAGAAGAGCTCAAGTTACACGAGAGCGACAGAGCATCTCTTCAGCGTATGTAGTTGAGCGACAATACGTGCCCACCAGCCGAGCCGGCTGGGGCGAGTAGACGGCCGTCGCCGGCGGCCCAGCCGTCCGGCGCAACGTCCTCGCAGGCCCAGTCTGGCTCGACGACCATGGCAAGCGCGATGCCGCCGATGCTGAAAGCGAGGGCTGCGCCGCAGCCACAGCCCGCGAAATGGGCTGATGAAGAGAGTTGCTCGATTTGCTTCAATCCGAAAGTAGGAGAATGCGCCACTTGTGGACTGCCAAGCTGCAGAGACCACTTCAACGTGAGCACCAAGCGGTGTTCTACATGCACTCAGAGAAAGAGCTTGCCAGCAGAACAGGGGGGGTGGGGCGGGCAATGGCAAAAACACAGCGCCGATCAAGACTTTCGGGCTCAACAGCAGCAGAAGCTTCTTGATGAATGTAGCGCTGACAAACTTAGTGCACAGCGGATGAAGGAGCAAGCTGAGGGGCAAATTAGATTAAGCTCAGAAAGGCGACTCGCCAACATTCGGGAGAAGGATGAGGCTCTGGCACGCGCAGTTGCCTCAGAGAGAGAGGTGATGAAGCTCAAAGCTATCATCGCCGAGTCCTTTCCATATGGTGAGAAGGAACAGAACCAATTGCCCAAGTTTAGTTCATTTGATATGCCTTTGCTTTCACAGGAAACGCCCGTAAGGCCTGTCATGCGACCCCACCATGCTGTTCCTGGCCCTGCAATCGAAGGCCCGGCCAAGCCGAGTACCTCCGAGAATGGTTTACCTATCAATGTGAATTTCACCGGTGCCAATGACGACATGACTTTTGTCAACTATCATCCATTCTCCATGGGCGGACCTGTGAGACCGCCATCGGCCAAGCCGTCTGGCGGAAACAAAGACCATGCGCCAGCGGCCGCCTGGCGGGGCAGGACAGGACAAGGACGGGGACGACAGCAGCGTCGCACCAAGTACTGAGATTTTGTCGGCGCTTAACGGCGCCATTCGCGATCAGCCAGAGAAGCCGCTTCCAGGGAGTCCGGAGGGACCTGGGCCCCCAGGTGGCGGAGGTGATCGCGGTGGACTTCAGGGCCCAGGAGTGCCACGTGACCCGGGAGGCCTAGATGAGAGTACCTGTTTGGACCAGTGGAGACAGGTTGGAAACAATCAGAAGGTTTATATGATGGACATTTCTGATGTTACAAACATACGGGAGTGGCAGATGCATGCAGTCCGCGCTATTGCTTGCTGGATCATCTCCTGAGATTCAAGCAGCACAGCGTTGGATCATGGGAGCTATTGGCCGTGCTGTGGAAAACGAACAGCTCAGAAACCCGAGTCGCTTCCAACGTCTTGACATCATGATCGCCACGAATTGATTGAGAAGTTCAGCAAGATGCGTAGGAACCGCAGTCTGTCCAATCATCACATACATGTCCTTCAACAGCTCAGTCGAATGGAGTATGGCGCCCAGAATGAGGAGAGGCTCTTAACGGGGCGCGAGATGATACGAGCCATTTGCTATTGGTGCTCCGTTAGATCGGAATTCGGTCAACATCGCATCTCGCGTGATATCTTCAAGGTTGTCATTGGCCCCAATAAGCCAAGTGCTGACTTATATCATGTCTATAATGGATGGACAGACGTTTACCAGCTCTACGGCGTCCGACCTCCATCTGATGAGATGCGAGCTTCGATCCATGCACGCTTCATCGAGAAATGCAGGAAGCCTAGGAAGATAGATTTCGTTTGTCCACTTTACGACTTGTCCAAAGATATGTTAGGAGAAGGCGTGAGGTCCTACGAATGGCTCATGTCTCAGATTGAAGGAATGATGCTGCGCGACAAGGAAGAATGGAACATCAGTATGCATGAGGGTACTCTGAACCAACGTGCTCCACAGGCACGACTGGGCGGAGGTGGAGGCAACGGCAATGACAATCGTCGAAATGCCAACGGCAAAGCCGCCCCGGCAGAAGTGGCAGCCCGTCTCGGGAAACCCACGGATGTTACGAAGAGTGGATTGACTAAAGGCGAGACGACGTGCAAGTTTGTACGTGAGGGCCAGACCTACCCGAATGCAGGTCAGGGATGCCCGTTTAATCATAAGAAGCCCAAAGATGCCGCGCCGGCCCAGCCGGCTGCGGGGGCCAAGTCAAATGCTGCTCCGGCTCAGAACAAGAATCCGAGAGGGAGATCTGAGACCCGACGGCCGAGGCCGAAAGGGGCAGAGCCGATCCCAGACCCCCACGGGTGGCCGTGGAAAAGGAACAGAAGCATTTGTTCAGCCTGTCCCCTGGGAGGACGATG